TAGACAACTCCAGCTTGGTAGACCGCATACTATAGTAGCACCAATATTGACAACTAAAGAGAAATCTTGTTGAGTGTTCAACAACCCATACTGTAATGTTAGTCGTGGGCAATAAAATACACTAAAGATATACTAAGTCAATAGTATTATCAAATGTATCTTCTATATTATTTGAGAGAGAGTTTACACATGCGTGTGTTACATTAGAGTAGGCCTAAAGACATCAAAATTGAAGGGATATTTCTATAGTAAGACTTGCCTTCCTCTATATTAACACTAGATTCATGAAAATACAAAATATTCTAATAAGCGATTTGCTGTTTTATTTTTGTTTGAACAAACCTCGTCAATACTTATTTATCTATAGGAAATACAACTGAGATAGCATACCTTGAGGCTTGAATGAGATTTGCTGTGGTGTCGTCTGAAGATGGGTTTCAAATTTGGCGGTCTGATTTTTCGTAAACAAACGTGAAATATCAATTTTTTGGGGGTAGGGTATGAATGTCAAAACGCCATATCGTCTTTTTTCCATCAGCGAAATTCATCATAAATGTATGATGATTATTTTTTTCGACAATACTAGAAGCATTGTAACGTATTTGTAATTGATATTATGTTCATAGTCAACGTGGGCAATCCCCATATGCAGGGCTGTCGGAATTTCCGACTCTTGTTTATCGAACACGCTGATTGGTTCAAATCCGGTACTTGATGACGTAGTCGGTAAGCCGTGACGTCACTGCTCCGACAGTCGGTAAATTACCGACTTTAGGAAATATGCTTTTTCATGGCTAAAATACCATATAGAATACACATAAATAAATTTTAGATGTATTTAATTACCTTACCTACATTATATTCTGCTGAGTCACACACGAAGCGATATCGAGAGTCGAGACAAGGAAGCCAACGGTCTGTTCCAAATGTGAACTCATATAACACTCTGAATGGTGTATAATGCAGTGTTTATTATTCAGAAATTTATAAAACTAATGACAGAAACAATGAAATTCACTGAGTATGAGGACTACTCTAATATAATTACTGTATCTGGGATCTTCGTTACCCCTCACCAGACATTATATTATAGAAAATAGTAATATTACGTCATGGACTCGCAACCAATCACACCGCGAGCAGTTGAACAATCGGCGTGTTCGGTAAACAAGATCCGGAAATTCCGACAGCCCTGCATAGGAAGATCTCAAGCTAAATGATCTTGCATACGGTCGAAGGTTCATCACGAGGTCTGTGCCATAGTACCCTTTATCTGTATCTCCTTATAACAAGGAAACTGGGAAAAGTATTGAGGGTGCTTTCCCTCACTAATAACATTGATATTTTAGTATATTCATTGGGTTAATGTGTTTTTTCCTGTTTGTGTGAATTATTATTATTGTTGTTTTATGATTTTCGTGTTTCTCTTATTGTTACTTGTGTTTTGTGTTATACTACTTTCAGCTTTCACGATTTTTAGATTTTCTGAAATGTGGACAATTCATAGTCTTAAGGATTAGTAGTTCACTTCCGGGGACTCCCAGTTCATTCGGCTGTGATAGGGTACCCAAGTTTACAATTGAGGCATTGAAAGGCAATCGAGTGCAGTGCTGACCATATTGCATAGAGAGAGAGAGAGACTCGACCAGCGTCATGAGTGGCCGTGATCGATGGTGGGACATATTATGATCTCAGGGTGTTTTTGTGAAGCCGTAGTCTTATACGGGATCAGAATCAATAATCAAATTATGATGGAAGTCTTCACTGGTGGCTGGCGGGGGCTGACATAGCTAACCAGGTTTGGGGAAGCTTCCTAGCCATGACGAAAAATAAGTACAGTGCAAGATGATTTGGTTCCGCGTTCCGTGCATGAATGTCGAGGTATATATGGGCGTGCTGGTCAAATTGAGGTAAGAATGTGGTTGGCGCCCGCTCGAACCGAGCCTGGCTGTGAATTGAATGTACTCTTTTAAGTTATTGATCGTAAAAAAGAATGTTGAAAAGGGAAAAAAAGTTATTTTGACTTTTTGGTTCCGTTCTGCCTATACAAGAAGCTACTGTAAATGTGAAGTCTCACCTGGGGAGGAAGGATGTATGCGTGGGAGAAAGTTAGGGAAGAAATGAGATGGATGTTAGACTCGCGTCAGAAGTTCTGTAGCCACCCAACACGGATATTAACGGCAAATATAAAAAAAAGGAAAATTTTAGAACTGACCACACTTAAGGTCAAACTTAGGTTTGATTAGAAAGGTCGGAACAAAAAATATTTAGTGTATTTGACATTGTATTGATTTTGGCCGACTAAAACTGTAGAAGGGTGCGTGAAAATAATTGACGGTAAATATATATGGTTAGAAGTATATGGCGAACACTGACGCATCGTGATATAACTACGTAGATAGGATACTTGTGGCTTGGTTGATCTGACCTGACAGTGCGTTAGTGATATGCCTATAAATAAAAGCTGTCTACAATGATATGGCATTATAACTGCATTTATTTTTCAAGATCTTAAAGTTACAAGATTGTGGTACAGTATAGCTATGATTAAAAATTAGTTTCGCACCTGCTTCGGCAGTACATATACTATACTGACTGGGTGAGTGGATGTAACCTTGCCATTGTAGCTGGCTAGGTTATACTGTAGAGTACGAATGTTCGTGGAACCTGCCAAGTTTTAACTTGAGCGCCACGGCCGTTTGAAAAGGAAGATTTTTTTTTAAATAGTTGTTATGTTGTGTAGTTTACGGACCTTTTTAGAGTATATGACAGATCTTGGTTGTTAGTTGCTGAATCATAGAAGTTAATAGAAACGATGACGACCGCGTGACTCCTGCAACGCCCACGTCTTGGACCGGTGTTGCCGTATGATACTTCTGTCATTTATCTAATACACTAAGCTCCTGATCTGTACTTGCCATATTGGTTTGTATCTTCATGGTAAAGAGGACCCTATATAAGTAAAAAAATAAGTTTAATGCTTTTTAGTTTACTTACTAGAAACTCTTAGATGTACATTTTCAATAACTTTGTCTGGCATTTTTTCAAGGTCTACTTGACTTTTTGAGGCAATTCCACATTAAGCAAGAAGGTGGAATTACTATGTTGTGCATTTTCACGCCTTTTTGTGTATAATGTTATTTATTTGTATATCGTTGCAAGAGACAAACACATTCAACCGAGGTGTGTGCAGTATAAGATGGCAGGAACGTACTCCCTCACCCCTGTATCCGGGCGCTGTGACTGCCAAGCCACTTTTTCTGATTTGGTGGGAAAACCGTTAACAGTTGCCGAAATTTTTTTTATGCACTTAATATTTGTCTCTTGATATCCATAATATATCCATGTTTTGTATTGTTAATTTTAGCGAATCAGTACAGAATACAGTAAACGTTCCTGAACCAATATTTTTTGCAACAACCTGGAAATAATTAGTATAAGCTTACTACTTAAGGTATTTAATTTTGTTGTTGTCATCTTTCTTTAACTTTGAAAATAGCAACATATAAAGTGTAATATATTCAGTGGCTCGTTCTTCAGTCTTCGGGCCTAAAACTTATGTGGCGAATAGAGAACATTTGGCCTTACTGTCTTTACATGTGTCCTGTTACACATATCCCGCGCACATAATGTTACTGTATACTTTTCTCTTTCCACCAGTAACGGCGTCTGGCAACTGTGCACAGTGATATGATAGGATTGCTGTGTACAGTGTTGTACTTCACTTCGTTATCCTCATTTTCCTAGAACCTCATACACCCTTTTCCCTCCAGTTTCCGTCAATAACGACTACCTCCCATCCCCCTTCCTAGTTTAAAGACCCACCCACACAGAGTAATCTGTAGGGGGGGGGGTACTCCCGATGTCTGTACTGAGTAGATTTTGTGGTCGGGGATACGTAGTTGTCTGGATTTCGTCCTGTGTGTACTGTATGTCTGTATGTCCTTACCAGGGCCAAACGTCGGACAAAAGGCTCCAAGGTAAAGGTTCATTTTGCGCACCCTTTTGATTTTTTTATGCGTTTCGGTTGCTACTACACATACGATGTACTGTATAGTACTTCACTCAAATTGAGGATGGAGAAACTTAGAAAATCCTGGAGTTTTAATATATATATATATATCTCTCTCTCTCTCTCTCTCTCTCTCTCTCTCTCTCTCTCTCTCGCTCTCGCTCTCGCTCTCGCTCTCTCTCTAGAAAAGTGGTCTATTTTTATTTTCATGTTTAAATTTTTATTTATTGGGCCAGGTAGTTCAAGGTTTCTCTTGGGTGGTGGGGGTCCAGCGGAAGCCATTGTTGAGCAGATTAGCAGGCAGGAGGGAGCACTGTATACATGGAGCCGGAGGACAATGGGATCTAAGGTCAGCGACTTATTCCCTCTGGTGGCAGGGCACGCTGAGTTGAATTAGACCAGAATTAGACCAATCACAGCTTGCGGTGGAGGGTATGCGTGGGTGGTAAGGATGCGTGGCCCAATCACAGTCCGAAACGTCATCTGACTTCAGCGGTGACGTAAGAGTGACTTGACTCCGCTTCCCGCGTAAATTCAGGAATGTACCGCATAACTAATAATTGGCACGTCTGGACAGGTGCCGCGTAAATGACCAACCAAGCAAGGAAAATCCTCGTAAACCGAGACTATACTGTACTACATATACAATGCAGGTATACAAAATATATATGAGACTGCAGGTTTAAAAACAATGTCCATTACTTAGACTGCAGGTATGCAAACAGTATATAGATACAGGTGTACAATGTATATATACAGTGCAGGTATACAATGTACATAGACTGCAGGTGTACAGACATTGCACATATACCCGGTACACAAACAATATTATGAACAAGACATCATAGGTATACAAACAATATACACAGTGCATCAAGTCATCCTAAGTCACATGAGATTGGGATGCTTGGGGAGTTTTTGTAATCATAATTTTCTAGGAAGTTTTATGATGGAATATCCCTGCTCATATATATCAATTGTTTTGCAGATTAGAGAGCTACTCGTGCAAAATGGTGGGTCAAGAGAAGGCATTGTACAAGAGATTCCATAGTTTCTCTGGAGTGAATGACCTTCAGGCCCTGTCACCGCCACAGTCTATGTTTGAGGCATCATCACCGCAATCTCTTGCTAAGTATGTACTGTTCACTGGAAATGGTTGGTACTGTATACTTTATTGCATTTTGTCATCTTCGATATTGTGTTGCCATTCACCAAAGATGACTTGTTGCTGTAATCTTTGGGTTAGAGAGATCAGTTACTGTATATCGGGCCCTAGAGCAGCCAATATGAAATAAACTCTTCTGTACAGTACCTTTCTTAAAAGTAGGTGGTACATATTGGTACCAAATATACATGATAAAATGATGAGTAAGGCCATTGATCTATAAATGCTTTTATTGGGCATGATAGTTCATGAAGTGCATTTTTTACTCAGTACAGAGATACATTAGGAATGAAAATATTATACATTACAAAAAGTAAAATGCATTACAGTTTGGGAAGAGGAGTAAATATAGATGCACTAGGTAGTGGTAGAGAGTTGGTCATGGCCTGCATAGTTCAGTTCACACTCTAGATGGATGTAGTGAGTGTAGATACTGTACTGTACAACACTGCTAATATCAGTATGATTTCAGTATACTGTACTGTAGTATGGAGCATAAATAATTCAAGTTAGAGGTAGATTCTTTGGAAGGATGAGATTTTTTTTCATATGATTCTTTGTTAAAAATAATCATATGTAGGCTAAAAGCACTAAAGTGAATTACCTGTATATTCATTGTCAGATTCTAGGAATTATTTTATTTGCCTCAGTATCTAAGGTTATTTTCATGATCTGTATAGTCTTCCTTTACTCATATTACTGTACAGTATTATGTTATTTCTGAGATGTACTAACTAATTTTCCTTTTATTTTAAAATTAAATGTCACTTGATATCAAAGGTAGTATATGACATTAGGTGAATAAATAATACTGTACATCAATGTAGTAGTGAAATACAGTACAGTACATACTGTATTCATTTTGAAATATTCAAGTACAGTACTGCTTAATGGTACTGTACAGTAATGCAGCTGGGTCATTTCAAAAGGTTTTTTGGAATACCGGTACAGTGCTGTACAGTAATGTGTTAAGAAAAGTCGGCTAAAATTTTTTCCTTAGAATCTTTGTGTCATATAGTGTTATAGGATCTGTAATGTAAATCTGAAGTTATTTTGTCATTTAAGAGTTTTGCACTTGGAAGAACTGTCAGTGGCATAGCTAGGGTCAAATTTGCAGGGGGCCACCAAAGGGGAAACATACCAAACACATACATAGTTATCACAACAACTTAACAACTGCAGTATATATATATATATATATATATATATATATATATATATATATATATATATATATATATATATATATATATATATGCTGATAACCATAAGGAAACGAGAAAACACGAAGTTCCCAAGTGCTTTCATGTATTCTCGTAGTACAGTATTACCATTTAACAAAAATTTCTCTCAAATTCCTATACAACTGAAAACATGGAACATTAATGTGACATTTAAAAAACTTGTGCACTGTAAAACAAATGTTAATTAAGAACTCCCCCCAACAATGCAGGCGGCTGCATTTACAAGGTTCCTTGCAAGGAATGTAATATGTTCTACTTAGGCCAGGCGGGTAAAGATCTTATAACTAGACTTAAACAGCATAAATATTGCATTAGGACAGGCCAGGAATCCAATGCTCTGTTCATTCATATGAGAGATAATAAGCATTGCATTGGCTGGGATAATGCCTCCTCAATATTACCTTGTAATTCAATTGTCAGTGGGAACTTTATAGAATCCAGTCTCATTAAACATACCGAATCTGTCAACTTGAATTTGCGTAATGGTATGTACAAAATGGATAATTTTGTGATTAAGAAGATTTGTAACCAGGTGAGAAGGTTGGGTCATCTTACCCTATGACCTGACTACGGACAACTGCTGTGCTTAGAGATGGCATGGTCAATTTTTTGATTAAGAAGATTAGTAAGGGTCATTGCCTTATGACAAGAACATTGTGGACACCTGCTGTCCCCTAGGGACTTGCTCTCACTCTCCTCTACTGCATATATTAGCCTTGTCAAGTAATACTCCTTAGTCTGTACTCACCCCTGAAGATGTGAATTACACGAAAGCGCTTGGGAACTTCGTGTTTTGTTGTTTCCTTGTGATTATCAGCATATACTTGGATCACGTGCACCTACTGTGATTTATTTGCACATATATATATATATATATATATATATATATATATATATATATATATATATATATATATATATATATATATATATATATATATATATATATATATATATATATATATATATATCAAAACCAGCTATAGATCTACAAACTGTACTGTGTTATTTTTAATTATGAAAGTGCAGTTTTAACCAAATGATATACAGTAACAACAAATAAATAACCCAATTCAACGAAAAACGAATTATTTTCAAAAAAAAAATTCACATTTTTAAGTAAAGTATACTCATTCTTGTTTTGTGTGCTTTCATAAGTGTAATAAAACATATACTGTAATGATGCACTCCAAGTAATTATAACCTCAGTTAACAAAAAATTTCAAGCTGTATATTTAGGTGGCCACAGGTATACATGCAGATTCAAAAGTTTACATGTGATGATTTGATTAATACAGTATCAGATTGAAGAATCACACATTCACTTATATATTTGTTTACCAGAATTACATGGATTGTATGCCTTTCAGTAACTAAGACTTGTGAATACTAAAAAAAAAATTGTATTTTCCTATTGTTATGTTTTGGTGCAGAGACAAAATGTGCTATATCAATTTATTTTGCCCTTCCAGGGTGACTTCCAGTCACACAAATTGTGATGGTTTACAATCAGACATTTTGCTTCTTAAATGACTCTTGATAAGATGCATTGATGAAAAACTCCTCTCACATGATCCTGACATTGGGGGCAAAACAAGAGCAATGTTTATCAACTTGCAAAGATCTGGGAATGCATCTTTATACAGATTCATAGAGGATGCAAGATCCACCCAACTTTCCACAGATCCATATTCATCAGTTTTTCTTTGCATGGTACTGTGTTAGTCTTTTTGCCTGTCTCAGTTCTACTGTACATCCAGATATGTAAGATCAATAGAGTATTGCTCAGCCATGGGTTTGAGTATGTCCATTTCAAGAAATCTGGAACTACACGGATACAGTACAGACATAACTTTGAGAAACTTCGATGTTAGATTCTAATACAGACAGCAACTTGCCCAATACCTGGTAGTACAAGTTGACACATTATTTGTGCTTCATAGACATTGTTCTCCCCCACTGTCTCGTTGGCCAGTAGATCCCATCACTTAGCTGTCTTGATGGTCTGATTGTTCTTGATGCTGGAATCTCGGGTTCAATGCCAATTTTCTCTCTTGAGGTCTTCAGCTTTTAGCCACATTTCATGCCAGGCTTCCTCACTTCACCTGCTAATCGAGTCTTCTTGTATGGTTTGCACCATGTAAGCTGCAGCAGACAGATCCAGTGGTGGCATTTGAAGCATATCAGACAGTAGCTTTGTCTTGTGCAAGTTAGCTGTAAACATCACAAGGCATATAATCATGCCATGGTCAATATTCTTCAGCAGGCTACCGGCATCATGAGCTCATTTTCCTGTGTGATTCTCTACTGTGACTTTCAATGCTCCCATAACTGCAGACAGAGTGTTGGGTAATACTGAGCATGACAGGTATTGCCATGACCACCGAGTGTCGAATTTTTTTTTTTTTTTTTTTTTTTTTTTTTTTTTTTTTTTTTTTTTTTTTTTTTTTTTTTTTTTTTTTTTTTTTTGGGAGTCTGTATTTTTCTGGTCAGTTCAGGTGAAAGTACAGACTGTACCACCCCTGAAGATGTGAATTGCACGTAGCTTGGGAACCTCAAGGTTTTCTCTTCCTGTACACAGCACCAGATCACGCACAGTGATTTTACTTGCAGAGCAGCAGTATGTGTGTATATATATATATATATATATGTATATATATATATGTATATATATATATATGTATATATATATGTATATATATATATATATATATATATATATATATATATATATATATATATATATAGGTATATATATATATATATATATATATATATATATATATATATATATATATATATATATTGCTTCATCAAGTAAATTTTATGAAGAACATGTGTTGACATGAATACATATACTGTATATAGTCTCAAGGAGGCTAAGAAGTTTGTCTGCTACTTTAACTGACTTAACACAGTCAACAATGACCAGATTGAGTCTGTGACTGTAGCACTGGATATAAACTGCCTTTGGAGCACACTCTAGAAATAATACTTGCTACTTGCACACCTTGGTTCACATCACTCATTACAGAATGTCCATTATAAGTTTGTCCTACACGGTTTTTTGGTTCTACTGTATATTGCACGAATTTAATACATGAATTATTTTGTCTTTCAAATAACTTGCTTTTAACTCCTGCAGATGAGCAAAATCAAAAAATGACTTTTGATAAGATGCATTGATGAAAAACTCCTCTCACATGATCCTGACATTGGCGGTAAAACAAGAGCAAAGTTTATCAACTTGCAAAGATCTGGGAATGCATTTTTATACAGATTCATGACAATTTTCCCTTCCCACTGATATCCTTACTTTCATTAGTCATAACTGATTAGTCTACACTGGAAGCATTTAATTTTGGATTTCAGGACTTGTATACTTAATTTGATATATGTCATTCAACCGGTCATTGACAATGTCATCATTTTCACTTAACGAATCCATGATCTCAAGAAAGTTGCCTCTATTGGTACTCTCACTGCCTTCCCTATGACCCCTTCAGGCTATTTTCTGCCTTGTGGTCAAGCACAACACTTTTCTAACTTGTTTAACATAGTGCCTGTTTATTTATACTTGCTTCTCATTGCAGATACAAGAGCAATGTCAATGCTTTTTTCTGCTTCAACATGAGTCTTGAAATCTTTCCAGGCACATTATACAGTATAGTATTGTGATAGTCACTTCTCTCATACTGAGAAAATCTCCATCTTTTTATGTTA